TGGCGGTAGTGGTGGCAGGTGAATCATATCCGATTGAGGTGTCTCTGGTAGACGAGCCCGTAGAAGTGCGAGAACTTGCACTAGCTGCAGTCTCACGGCGAGAGCCTGTGTCGAGCGTCATGGCCGGTGCTGGTATGACAACGCTGTGTAAAAGCCGTCTATTTTGGGACCTCGTCTCGACAACGCTTGGTGGGCTGAAGGGGCTGATATCCAGCTCAATGTCGGAGGAGTTGGCGACGAAGGACAATGGGCGTTCTATTCTGCGGCGAGTGGTGGCGTTGGAATCAGATGCGGAGTTTGGAGTATCGGCGCCAGCTATTCGGACTTTTAGCAAGTGTATAAAGGAAGAATGTACAGAGAACAGGCAAGCCATTCGTGCTGAGGCCGGGAAAGGCTGCACGCATGGCAAATATTGGTGTCTTACAAATCCTAGTGACACGCCTGGATTTGGGAGCCATTCTTGATGGATCCCAGTGAGAGGTTGGGCAGGAGAACTGTAGAACGAGCAATTGGCCTCTGGATCTGAACAAAGAAAGTCAAAGAGAAAGGCGCGGAGAGCAGTTTGGGGTGTACAAGTAGCGGAAGACAGCTAGGAGGCGAAAGAGCCGTCACGACTTACATTACTCGCCAATAAATTGGACTAGTAGCAGCGGCGGAATCGCGGCCCCTGACTGATTGGCGTTTTACAACGCGACTGGACGAGAGAGGTCCACGGATCGTAGATGAGTGCAACAATCGCATCAGAATCAGCGGCGAAATTCGATTCGCAAGGTGACGTGTCTCGATGGCGCTCGATGGGAGAAACGACGCGAGAACCAAAGTTGAAGGCTCGCACTTCGAGTACCTTATTCTAGGCTACAACGCGGGGTCACATGATGATCTTTATTCTCGCGACATTTCTAAGGCAGACTCGGTAATTGGTGCAATGACAGGATATTCGAGCATCCCTGACGAACAATGGGCCTATATGTCAAATGGGGGGACATTGGCTGCAGTCAAGAAACCTTGCGGGCATTCTTCTCTTGCCGGACTGAGCGTGGCTACAGGACCACCGGCAGAGCTCATTGTAGGTACATACTGGCACTTCCTGCGTGGACTGAGTCAAGTGCCCCCATCCAGAAATCCTACTGAAATCCCCGTCGGATATCGGCAGATGGTCGAGGCTGTTATCGCCATCTCAGAGCTTGCAGTCAGAGGATGCCCTTGAATCTCAGGTTCTAGACATTCGCCACTAGTCACAAGCTGCGGTAGGACAAGCTTCCATATCTCGAACATTGACTGTATATCCCCAGTGCCTTGCAAATCGCATCTATGCCTTCTTGTTCGCGCACGGGGCAATTATTTCATGAGTCCATGTAAGCGACTTCAGTTCTTCAGATTCATGTCGCCGTCGAACGGCACCCCAAGCGAAGACAGTAGTAATCTTGCCTCTCTGTTCGTTGTAGCGTTTGTATGAACTGTGACGTGACAGCCGGGAATCATCTTTGGTGGATACCTAATGGATGATTAGTACTTTGCTCGGGACTTCAGACAGAGTGTGAATCCTCACATGTCGTAGTTGACCTCAATCTCTGGGAACAGCGCCACGGTCTCCGCATCAAATCCAAAGGAAATGCACCCCGTCCCATCTCCGCTCGATCCCTTCGCTCCCTTCCAGTCCTTGATTCTGGGCATGACCAAATCCACGCACTTGGCCAAGAAATGATGCATGTCCTCGCCATAAAGATCCGCCGTCACCGACACGTATCTGCCCTTCTTCAGAGCCCATTGCTGCACAGCCGTCCTCGATTCATGGGCCACAATTCGTACATTGGTAATAGATTGCACAACCATACCAGCAACATGTAGATACGAACTATCATTGCTGGCTTGGCTCGCCATGGTGTGTACAGTAATGCGCTCCAGTTTCGGCACATTTTGAAATGTTATCCTCTTGTGAACAGGCCGTAGAACAGAACCTCCTTTCGGTGCTCGAAGAGGTCGGTTGGCAAAATATGGCGATTCACCTTGCCATGATCTCAGTCGCTCTCCGATGGCCGGCTCTTTTACTCCTGGAGGAAGATGTGTGTATGTGAGTGCCAGAAGATCTTGGGCAGCTGTGCTTTCATACGTTTGCTCTAGACGAGGGAGTGTGAATGGGCCTGGGACGAACTCTCGAGATGCAGGGTCGGAGGGCGGAGGAGGTTGATAGGGATGAAGAGGTCCGCGGTAGTATCTTGGAGGGCGAAACTGGTATCTGTTCGTGATTAGACTCCTGTTGACTCTCAAGCGATTGCGTTAGCTGACCTGCTTGGAGGTAGTTGCCTCTTCCGTCTCTTTGATTGGCCCACAGGATCAAAGCTCTTGATGATATCTTCGGTGGGCGGTGGGACCTGGAAGGAGGATGCCTCGAGGTCGTCTCTGTGCGTATCATCTATTGACGAGATGCACCGCGGCGCTCCAGCTCTTTGCGAATGCAGCAATTGGTTTGAGCTCTTCCGTAGTGACGGGCCAAACGTCCGGCGCAACTCTTGTAAGGCCATTGCGTGATGAAATTATGGCGCGGAAGGCCTCGAGTCCAGGGAAAGTCGAAATATGTCCGCGCTAGGGGCGGTGTCTTTTAATAACTTCTTGGTAGGTAAGATTACATTAAGGTTCCCATGCTCAACACCAAACATCTGGTATCCAGGACTTCTACAGCCGTTTTTCAGGAATTTCGTTTGCTTTGCTCAACATGCCACCCGATCGGTTTGAAAACCACCGTTGTCACTAACAGAATACCTGCCGATTACCAGACACCAGACCGGAAAAAGCAAAGCTTGAGAATGCGCATAATGCACCACTTCTACCACTCAGACATTCGATTGTGTGCCAACTTCAGGGACTTATTATACGAGCACTTTCTTCGTCAATAGCTACAGGTGCTCCAACGCAGGCGCATGAGATTCCTTATGAGGTCCCGTATCCGGAACAGGTCTTTTCATTCTTGAAGCTGTGTATCACTTCTACGATAATGGACTCGAGCATTCTCCGTTTTGCACCTGCGAGATTGATTTATCATCATTGATTGCTAAGCGATTGTCTCCCTCCCGTCTAAAGCGTTGCGTGATCTATTCCCCTCATCTAATCTTACCATGTGTCGACTTGACTTCATTCATGTTCCAATTCTGCTTCTCCTTTCATACCCTCGAAAATCTTCTCAAACACAAGATGACTCCAATTCGCGTCGGTATCATCGGTCTATCTGCTGCAGCCACAGGTACGAATTGGGCTGCAACAGCTCACCTCCCCTACCTCCTCAAGTCACCTCACTACGCCATAACCGCACTCTGCAACTCGAGCGTCGAAGCCGCCCAAAAAGCAGTCAAAGCCTACGCACTACCTGAGACTACAAAAACCTATGGTTCACCGGAAGATCTAGCCAATGACCCTGAAGTCGACCTCGTGGTAGCTAATACACGAGTTGACAAACACGCCCAAGTCCTTCTCGCCTCTCTGAAGAAAGGCAAGGATGTGTTCTGTGAGTGGCCGCTTGACCGAAACGCTGCTGTAACGAGGGAAATGCTTGATGCTGCAAGAGAGGGAGGAGGACGGGTTATGGTGGGGCTGCAGGGACGACAAAGTCCTACTCTGAAGAATGTGAAGAGTCTGATTGACGAAGGAAGGATTGGCAAGGTTTTAAGTAGTTCTGTCATTGGCGCCGCTGGAAACGGAGGCGGTGAGGAGAGCACGGCCGTCAGGTATTTTGTGGAGAGGGAAGTAGGTGGTAATATGTTCACCATTCAATTTGGTCATGGTGGGTCTCTCTCTCGTCTTACTGTTTCACACCCAAAAACTTCTCACAGACGATATACAGCCATTGATCTTATCCTCTATACGTTGGGTGAGCTAAAGCAATATTCAACCATCCTTGGCAATCAAAGACCAGAAACCAGGATAGTCGACCGCTCATCAAACACAATCATGGAAACAGTAGTCAAAAACTCTCCGGACCAAGTCCTCCTCCAAGGCACCCTCACCACCGGCCCCATCCTCAGCGTTCACGTCCGTGGCGGGCGGGGTTTCGCCTCAAAGCCCAAGTTTCTCTGGCGCATCTACGGCGAAAAAGGCGAGATCGAAGTCACAGCTTCAGGAACCGGCTTGAATGTCGGGTACGATGATGAACAGATTCTGCTGGATGATTTCGAGAAGGGCACCTTGGAGACCGTGAGCGTGGACACGGACGAGTGGGATGAGTTGCCTAGGCAGGCTAGGAATGTTGCGAGATTGTACGAGGCATTTAGGAAGGGGAAAGGTGACGGAATTGCGACGTTTGATGAGGCAGTCGAAAGGCATAAGATGCTCGATGGGATGTACGAGGCTTGGGATAAGGGGGACCAAGGGAGACTGGCATGATGAACTCGTCTTGAATTCCACTATGAGGCTGGAGATGTGGTGTTTGAGCGATTGAAATCCATCAGAACAGACTCGAAATCATAGCTTGCAATATGAAGCTCGACTTTAGATTGACAGTGACGTTATTCTGTCAGGTTATGAAGATTGATCGCCAGAAATTCAAAGGTACCAATCCTGGACCCGGCAATGGGACTCGTGCATTTCAGGAATCGGTGTAGGCTGCTCCTAACAAGCAGCATTCATGGCAGAATGAAATGGCCGATTCACGATCTGTTTGCTGCTTTCAAAGTGGAAGAAGACCGAGTTCTGCTTTACAAGGCAGCACGAACGACACACATTCGGTAAATTGATGAGGTCGCTTATATCCATTCACTTGAAAAGCCTCTCGAGTAGAAGAACCCCGAAATTTATCAACCAGAGGCACAAGAGATGCCACCCGACATGTCAACATTGGCAAGAGTTTTCCGTTGGACAAGATCTGTTTTGAAGGGGAAAGTGATGTATTGTGCGCCAGAGGACTGAAGGTATTTGCTCGGTAGAGCTCCCGGTACAAACATTTCGCATATATCTATGATATTACAGGATTCGACTTTCCAGATTTGGCTATGACAAGCACAGCTTGCCCATCTTCCATAGTCTAGTGGTCATGATATCCGCTTGTCATGGTGCCGAAGCGGCTCGCACAGCCGGCTCGGCCTGTGTACGGACCGCGGATGGCCCGGGTTCGATTCCCGGTGGGAGAGAGCGACGATTTCTTTTTTTTAACGCTGGAGGAGAGGCTGTGCTTGAGATGTTCCAAGGTTATAGCGGTTTAAATTGTTCGTGGCGCTAGAGGATAGGTTAGTAAATGGCCAGATTGGATCTATTGGTGGGGCATTGACGCGGGCAATCGCGGACCCCAACTTAACAACAACAGAGACCTATAGCACCTACTAACAACCTGAAATTGATAGGCGACTACGTGAGCAAGAGAGTCTTGTTCTTCAACTTATATCCTTTTTCATCGTATGACGTCTTAGCTCTGTTTGAATACGAGAACAGAATAGAATCCGACTTGACCAGTCCACTGCGCAAGTCTTCCACTAAATAGGCCGAAACCTTGAAACACATCTTATAGAAATCAAGCTGGTGTCGCATCTCCAGTCTTGAAGACTGACGGAAGAGGCTATCTGAATTTCGTCTTCTGGTTCAGTCATAGTTATTTGATGTCAGGATTTGGAGAAGCGGCGAGTTGAAGCAGATTTATCATCATCTAGAGAGGTGGCAATATGCGCCTTCAAATTTTCGCGGTATACCAAGCTGTGATTGTCATAAAGAGAGTAGTAGCAGTAGGTTTGGATTAGGGCCGAGCGAAAGGCGATTACTAAAGATCCACTTGTTGGTCCCTTGTCCAAAGAGGTCTCAAAGAGTTCTTAGTCCTCGTCACTTTGCATGTGTAGCAAGATCCAATTCAGTTCTAGAATGTTGAAAAGAACGTCGGGAGGCGCGGAGCGGTGAAGCGACATGATGTATGTAATTCAGCTTAGTGCAAATGTCAATACTCGGCGAAGATGATAGGAATTGCTATGTTCATGTCAAAATAGTATGAGTGCAGTCTTCAAACCAAATACTTCTAGGACAGGTACGTGATCGCACGTTGGCTTATAACGATTGGCGAGGAGTTTTCGAAGCTCTGAGGCTAAAAGCGGCTGGCAGCCAGTATCAAAGATTCAACGGGGTAGGATTGGATATGTCGAGAGACGGACTGCGTTCGTGGCCGGCCTTGCGAAGGAACGCTTGACATGTCCGCCAAAAGTTCTTTGCCGCATTGAGAATAGCATAATCCGACTTTGTACTCGCAGGTCTCTTCTTGATTCTATCAGAGATGTTTTACTATCAAACGAGATCAATTTCCAAGACGTCGACGTCAGTGCATGCGTATATCCAGCGGGTACAGAGTAGGATACACCGACGCGTGTCGGTCCAAGTGACAGCTCCAGCTCGGTCTTCATATCGGCGTCTATCGGGGATCTATGATGTACCTTCTCATTTGGAAGCAGCGAGATAGTGAAAAACTGTATTAGAACGTGGTCTGATTAGGAGGACGGTATCGGAAGGTTTTGTTGCGCGAGGAGGAGTTCAGTGTATTCCTCGGTCCCATTGATCAGGAGGGATACGTCCAGGCATAGTCAAGCTCGGGAATGCGACTGAAGATGACCAAGGTTGCATCGTGGAAGCGATCAAATCCAGAAGAGCTATGTAGCCACGTTGATGGAAAGGCCTCGGCCGCGGCGAAGAGATCTGGGATCTGCAGTTGAGGAATGCCCCATGAGTCAGAAGGGTGGGGCACACGCGGGAACTTGTTTCCCGCGTGGATATCTACCGGCTCTATGTCCGTCCCTTGCCCAAAGCATACCACATCCAAATTGAAAATACGAACACGTCCTGACTGATTCGGTCTTCAGTCCTTGTGCGTCCTGGCTTACTTGTGCACATTGTACTAAGATACTGCGACGGTTACAACAAGCTGCTGGGAATGGTCGAATCAGCCAGAAAGCTGGCATCCAACGTCGGCGCGCAAAACAAGAGCTTCGGAGACCCACTGGTGCAGCATTGGAAGAAATTCGAGACCGAAGCACACTCCATATGTACCGCGCGTGATGCCGGCTTGATTGGTACCTAGACCGGCCCACCGGCTCGAGCAGAAAACAGCAGTCAAGCTCGGCCTTGGACCGATCCATCTACCATGAGCAGGTCAATAGCTTGTGCTGACTGATGATACTGTGATATCAGGCCAGATCACCGTTGGTGCGACGATCACTCCACAGCAATAACCTACCCAGTACGCGTCTCATACGTAGAATCTGGGTGGTCGTAAGCAGCCTCACGCGCTGACGATCTCACTACTTCACGTGCTTGAGGTCTCACCACGGCAAATGGACCAATCACCGTTTGCTTGGCCGGATGCCACAGTGGGAAGCTGTTATGATTGCTCATACATCCCGGCCCAGCTCTTTTTCGGAATGGAGAAGCTCAAAGTACATATTGGTCCAACATATCGTTGCATCGACATTATACTTCCTCCGCTTTCGTCCATCCACTAACGTTTGGGAGTATGTTCCGCTGCACTTGCCTCTAACAGCCTAATCGATCTTCACCGTGTGCTCGCACTGGTCTACTCCCATACTCCATGTCCTGGTTCACCGTCTCAAATCTTGCGTATCTTATCCACCCAATAAGGAAGCAGCCAGCACAATCGAGGGTCCATCGCGTGCACTACTCTCCGCGCAGGTTAAGTCGACTGCACTAGTGTACAAAATGACGCCAAGGCAGCATGCCTTCAGAGCATCTCAATTTATGTTGTATCGGGTTCATATTCGGCATAAGAAGCTTTCCTCTCTTGCTGTTGAACAATCGACTTCCAACGCTCAAGCCCAAGTCCTTCAAACCTTCATATTTTCCGCTCTCAGAATCACTACGATCACAGCGACCCACAACATTCAACATGCTGTACACTACTCTCATCGTCTCTACCATCCTTGCAGCGGTATCGGCGCTGGCCCCGCCGTTTGGAATGCCAAAGTGCAAGCCGGGTCACAAATATATTTCTATCGGAGGATGCTCTCCTACCGATGGTTACGCACCCTGCGTCAAACCCACCAGAGCTTACGGCGACTACCTATGCCAACAGCAAGGGAGTCAATACTCCACTGACCAATACCTGGAACCTGAACTTGCCCAGGAGAATGGAACACCAACGGTGAGCCACAAACTATTGCAATGACGAATCGTCGATGTTGACAGAATCAGGGCGACTACAAATCATGGGTTTGCTGCGGTCCAAAGGCACAATGGATTGGCGGCTACCAACAGTACGCAAGCACTTATAGACCACCTCATAACAAAAACCCACCTGCAGATACGCCACCAGGTGCAGAAAAGCCCTACACAAACACACCCCCGCCTGCAACAAACACACCTCCAACAAACACACCTCCAACAAACACACCCCCACCTGCAACAAAACCTAACAAACCCCCACCCGCATCTGTAACAAAACCTAACAACTCCCAACCCCCACCTGCAAAAGTACCTGCGATTATTCCTTTCCCCAATGAGCCAGCATCAAAGGCGTCCTATCCGCAATAAACCATCACCAAAGGTGTAGATGTTGACGAGGCGCTTCAGTCTGCTGGCAGACTGTCGAGCCCGTTGCGATGTTAATGTCTTCTTCTCCGAGATGGCGCTGGGCAAGATCTTGGGGGGAGGAGAAAGGAGGTGAAGACGAGGGAATCCAACATTTCGATTCATTGCAATCTCCATTTTGCTCTTTTCACGCCAACTCAGCAGCGGGCAAGCTGAATCATCGACGAAGTCGACATCATCGGGTTTTGGCGTCTTTATAGTTTCTGTGACGGCTAGGTACTCCAGCTGCACATGCATTGCGATAATAAACTCTGCTACGCATTCACATTGGTTGAGGAGCGTTGAGGCTGGTTATTGTGGGGAGCGACGGTAGAGTGGCTGGTATAGGCGGTGGCGGTGTAGCCGCGGCGCCACCAAACCAAGCAGAGGGTCTGAGAGATAAATTCTGTAATCTGTATGCAAGAAGCCGGGTGTAGATTCTTCGGTTCACCGGGTCGTCTCGGCAGCGGCAATTTTTCACCAACCATCTGTCGTACGTCAATTTGAACAAAGTCGCATTTCAGCGACATGGGCAGCGGTTGTTGATCTCACATCTCGCAGACAGTTGACTAGTCCTACGAGACAAACAAGAAAAGCACAGCATAGCCCTACATGTTCCATGGCAGCGGCAGCGGGGGGCTAGACGAAACCTTCCGGCCGTTGATTGTTCACCATCGAAATCTGCCATGCAACGAGCATTGAGAGGCTCTCGCCAGCTGTTCCTTTGAGCCTCATCCGCTGCGCTAAAACCTTTGGCTTGATTTGCGCCCTGATAGGCCAACAATTTGACCGGGGTGCTGCACATTGTTCACGAATCTCTGTAGCCGCCGGCTGGCTCCACCAAACCACAACCTCAGCTTTGCTGGATCGCGCGCCATAGACAGTTGCAATTCTCATTGGAACTGTCAGCGTCAATTCGAATGCATGAAACCAATCCATCCAGGCAGACAATTATAGCAACCTCAGAACCATGATTGATTTTTGGCAAACAAAGATGCGTCTCAGTCATACTTAAGACCGGCAGACCATCATCTCGGATTCAGAATCATCGGCACAACTCTTTCTTACATACTTCCTGTCTTCCCGTTTTCCTAGAGTCATTTCTTAGATTTCTTTGCTACTGATTCATTTGTCGGCTCTTTCTTACTCAGACTTTCGTTATATCTGCCGGGCAGATTCCATTCTTTGCACCACATTAGCACCTCTCAGCAGACGCGATCGCTATCGATACTTCAAGACCTGTATTTGATTCAACCAGCCTCAACGACGGAACTTCACAGCCTCCAACCTCCAGTCTCCAAAGATGCAGATTCCAAGCTACGGTGCCGCCCCAATCAGCGCCACCTTCCTCGGTGCGCGTGCTCTTCAAATCACTTTCCTGATTGTTGTGGTCGGATTGACAAGCAACTTCGTCAATGGCATGGTGATGGCCCAGCACGACCCCTCCAAGGAGATTGTCGGCGCACTCGTCATTGTAAGTACTTTCCCATTCGCGACAAGTTCAACAACAGGCTAAAAATGTACCAGACCTGCCTCGCAATGCTTTACACTCTTCTCAGCATCTCCTTCTATTGGGCAT